GAGCCGGCCAATCGCCGGCCGGGGTCCGGTGTGGAGTGTGGAGGGGAGCGGGATGGGGAGTGGGGCAATCGCACAGCCCGGCCCCGCGGGCGGGCGCCTTGTGGTCAGTGTCGGAAAGTAAAATGATTCTATCCAAGTCCGAGACTTGCAGAGGGCTCGCGCGTCAGGCTCGGGTTCTTTTTTGCCGGGAATTATTTCTCCTCTTGTGGCCTCTCCCATCTCTGTCCTCGGGTCTCCGCTACGCTCCATCCCTCCTTAACTTCTTCACACTGGACAGCAGGGAAGGCAGTGCCCCCGCGGGCTCCCTGTGCAGTAGTCCCTCCGCTGAATTCTGATGAGCTGGGCACTGCCCTAAGGAGCAGACCCAAAGCGTTCAGTAAACCATAGTTAGTAGTAGAAAGAAAGTGATACTTTCTCTAGCCCCAAATCATCAGAGCGGCCATGGCCATAATGATAGTGATAACACAAGCGACTCACATTTATCCAGCTGGGTCGTGTACTTTGTGCATGCATTTATGTGTATGTATTATCTCGTAAACTATCTCACTAAATAATTCTCCCAAAACCCCTTTATGGTAGGCATAACTGCTGACACACAATACGCATGAAGAATCAGCATGGGGAGGTTAAGTTGCACACTTCACACAGCTGGGAAGCAGTATGCTCCAAGGGCCCATCTCACCACCCACCCTCCCACTAACCATTCCTGGGTACCACTTCCTGAAAATTCCTAAAGGGCTCACGTCTCCCATTTTTGACACATTAACAGCTGGGCTGACTGCCCTGGGCTCACTGTAAATAAGTTAATATCTGCACTCTGCAGAGAATACTGCCTGGCCCAGGGTGCTCTACAAATGTAAGCTATCATCATCAGCATTAAACCTCCAGGAATTCAAATAGGACCCATTATATGCATCTTTTGATCATGTAGAGAAGTCCTCCTTAGGCCACATTTATATTAAACAGTTTTAACTCCCTTTGAAACAAAGTGCTTATCTTATTATATCTATCACCGATCATGAGATTTAAAGATGTGAAAGATTTCATCAAGCACAAAAACTTCCTGCTCAGCACTTTAAGATATGTGTCATAAATCATAGGGACTGAGCTTTCCTATAGCTATTCCCAATGCTGGGGTCAGGGCAAATCACCATGTCTTCTACTTCTAGGGAAGACTGGCCTGAAGGAGACCCCAAAGAAGTCAAGTGCACAAAAAGAAAAGGCTCTGTAATAGATGACAGAGTGTCAAGTACAAGGGCCACCATAATCACTAAGGAGAGCCCCAGGGTCAAGAAGGAAAGCCGGGGTGTCTGGGCTCAAACCCTGGCTCCACTGAACTAGCTGTGAGACCAAGTTACTTCACCTTTCTGGGCCCCAATTTCTTCATTTGTAAAATGAAGATAAAAAGAGTGCCTGCCTCATAGGTTTCTCGATGATTATGTGAGTTAATACACATATAGCGCTTAATACAATGTCTGATACAAAGTAAGTGCTCAATAAACCGGGGCTAGCGTTATTATAATATGACGATTCCAAACTCTTGCTGGGTTCTTCCTGTATTCCTACCAGTTTGATTGTGGAAACTATTTTATAAGTGAGCCATTCATTGTGTTTAAGAGCATTTCCTCACCAAGGTCTATTGACCTGAATGTTTTCAGATATTTCCTTACAACTTAAAAAAAATTGCTATTGTATTAAGTACAACATAAAATATAAAACCCAAGCAACATCATTTCATTGAAAGGGCAGTTATAAAATCTGCACTCTTGTGACTCCATTAGCATTTGACATTCTAATGACAAAAACTCAACCAGTGAGGGCGTCAGACACCACTGTGTGAGACACCATCCCGAGGCACGGAGGGTGGCTACTTTCTTTTCATAAACTTCATTTCATTTTCACTAGCAAGAAGAGAGTCCTCTTTCCATGCCTACTGCAGCCATGGCTCGTGGTCCCAAGAAGCATCTGAAGCGTGTAGCAGCTCCAAAGCATTGGCTGCTGGATAAACTGACCGGTGTATTTGCTCCTCGTCCATCTACCAGTCCCCACAAGCTGAGAGAATGTCTCCCTCTCATCATTTTCCTAAGAAACAGACTTCAGTGTGCCCTGACAGGAGATGAAGTAAAGAAGATCTCCATGCAGTGGTTCATTGAGATCAATGGCAAGGTCCGAACCGATGTAACCTACCCTGCTGGTTTTATGGATGTCATCAGCATTGATAAGACAGGAGAGAATTTCCGTCTGGTCTACGACACCAAGGGTCGCTTTGCTGTTCATCGTATCACACCTGAGGAGGCCAAGTACAAGCTGTGCAAAGTGAGGAAGACCTTTGTGGGCACAGAGGGAATCCCTCATCTGGTGACCCAGGAAGCTCGTACCATGTGCTACCCTGAGCCCCTCATCAAGGTGAACACCATTCAGATTGATTTGGAATCTGGCAAAATTACTGATTTCATCAACCTTGAACACCGGTAAGCTGTGTATGATCACCGGAGGTGCCAATCTGGGAAGAACTGGTGTCATCACCAACAGAGAGAAACACCCTGGTTCTTTTGATATCATAGTTTATGTCAAATATGCCACTGGCAATAGCTTTGCCACCCCGCTCTCCAACATTTTTTATTGGCAAAGGCAACAAACCATGGATTTCCCTTCCCCGTGGAAAGGGTATTCACCTCACCATTGCTGAAGAGATAGATAAGAGACTGGCGGCCAAATGGTTGGTGAAATGAGCTGATGTGACATGATTAGGAGAGTCTTGTACTTAATTAAAGGGGGGGGGGAGATGGAGGAAATGGACATGCCCACTAAGATGCTAATAATTCATAACCCAAATTTCATTCCCTTTTTCTATGGGACTTAACAGCTAAATGAGTATGATAGTCCCTTACCCTAAAGTCATTCTCACGTCAACCTCTTCCTTTTTTTATATACCTGAGTTAGCTCATTGTACTTTTCAGTTTGTAACCAGCTATCAGCCCCTGAAAAGCTCTTAGTTCATTTATTTGTTTATTCCCTTTTAGTCACATTTCTTATTTCCTATCTCATAGCTGCATAGGCAATTACTCTGATGTATTTTCAACATATATTTGAGTTTGTATGTTTCTAGCAAAATAAATAGTTTTGTTTTGACTGTTTATGTAATTGCAATTGAAATGCAAATATAGATTTTAGTTAATGGTAATGTATTAATATTGGTTTATTAAATGTAACAAATACACCATACCACTGTAGGATGTTAGTAATTGGTGAAACTGATGCCAAGTACATGACAGCTTTGTACTATCTTAATTTTTCTGTAAATGTAAAATTACTTTAAAAAATAAAGCTTGCCCTAACCGGTTTGGCTCAGTGGATAGAGCGTCAGCCTGCGGACTCAAGGGTCCCAGGTTCAATTCCGGCCAAGGGCATGTACCTTGGTTGCGGGCACATACCTAGTAGGGAGTGTGCAGGAGGCAGCTGATCGATGTTTCTCTCTCATCAATGTTTCAAACTCTCTATCCCTCTCCCTTCCTCTCTGTAAAAAATATCAATAAAATATATTTTTTTAAAAATAAAGCCTATTTAAAAAAATTCAACCAGTAAGAATTCAACAATGCCCAGATCACCCACAGGTCACACACACAGAGGTATTTGTAAAGCCAGACTTCAGCCCAGCCAGTGTGGCTCAGTGGTTGAGCATCGACCCAGGAACCAAGAGGTCTCAGATTCAATTCCCCATCAGGTCACATGTCCGTGTTGCCAGTGGGGGGGGGGGGGGGGGGGGGGGGGGGCCCAACGG